CTACAAGTAAGTGATAATCAAGAAGTTCTAAGAAGTCTGGAAAACAAAGAAATGATACAGTCAAGGGAATTACTCTGAATAAAATAGACTTATTATTTTTGGGCGTAATGCAACAGTTCAAACTACGTGCCCTCGAGAACAGATAAGATACGTATGGATCTTCTCAAGCGTACTTACTGATGGACAAGAAAAGAATGAAATAATACTCAATAGAATGGCATATGGTTTGAAAGAGGAAAGCAGTTGCCAGAATTTAATCCATCGGCTCCTTCTCGTTTTGTGGATGGACAAACGCCATGAACGTTGGCACCAAAGGAGAATTGGTAGATGGAAGGATAACTTTTTCACTTTGGACCATCTCATCTTCTTCGCCTTCTTTAGGCGGGATGTAGATAATATTCTGCCTTTTGTAGTCATACAAAAGCTCCTCCTCGCTCAAGCTAGAGTACCCATCTAGATCTTCATCGGTAAAGTACGCCAWTGGCTCAACCTCGTCTGGAAGTATTTCATCTTTACCTGTTGGCTGTGTCATGGTAAAAATAAGACAAGACAAGATGCTGACCAAACTAAATAATCTGAACGTTACGTTAGTGTCTAGAACTTGGATCATACCACCGCTAATCATCGCACCAAAGCTCGAACCGACCCCAAGATACAGCCCTTGTACTATGAAGATACCTACGGGATAGGTAGATCTTGGAGTGTAATTTATGACATAGAGGACAAAAGCTGACCACGCAGTGGAGTGAGAGATCCCTTGTAACAGTTCCACTGATGGYACAACCCAGGCAGAATCTGGAGTGCTGAGCCAAGAATAGATTACGAACCTCATAGCRTAGGACGCTAGGCCAATGAAGATCATTCCTATGTATCCTATGCACTTCATCAATATAGGTGCCGACATAGCCATCACCGAGTCAGATAAGTATTGACTTACTACTGTTATGCCTATTATGATCTCTGTGCCTTCGATTTCAATGACATTCCAGTACAGGAAGTTATACAACACGCCTCGGAATGTACCCATTAGGAGAACCAATCCAAAAAAACAAAGATGCTGTGAAACACAGAGCTCTTTGAAGCACCGCAGGACTTCAAAACTCATCCTTTTCTTTCGGTACTTAAAAGAAAACGTTAAAGACACCAGCAGCGCTGAAGTTATTAAAATTGCAAAAAKAAAGAAAGAAATACGATAATCGCTGTATTCCTCACCACATATTTCATACTTCGGAGCGAGCTTTARAAGGACTCCAGTTATCAGGGCGATAATGCCGATCCCAAGCGAACTGTATAAGCTATTTTTAGCAGGTACATTTTGATACATAACTCCTAATGGCTCCAAAAATGTCCCATCGTACTGTATATTGAAGTCATCAGTTGGAGTCTGGAACATTTGTCCGACCAAAACAAAGAAAAAAATTTCAATGAAAATAGTCATCGCGTACGGATTCTGCCTCTTGTTTACATAGTGTGTTCCTCTTGATTTGAAATCATAGGGCTTTTTCATTTCTACGATTGGCTCTTTTCGGAAAGTCATTCCCGAAAGAGAAAAGCTATTGAATAATGGCTTTCCAAGATCAACACTGAATCTTGGGTTTATCTCCGGTAATTTCATTTGCCCACTCTTAGACCTAATGTCCCTTCTAACTCTTCTCTCGCCGACGTCCTTAAGATTYCTCAAGAATTCATCAAAACCGCTGAATGTATCGCTGGTAATAAATTCTTTTTTCCATGATTTAGTATTGTTTTCACTAGATTTCGTCTCGTTGGAAGACTTCGTACTTCTCGAGGGGCAGGTTGCAGAATTATGAGCATGGTTTACAAATGCAATTGGAAGCGTAAAAATAACCCATGCAATTAASGATGCTAGCAAAATAAATTTTCGCACTTCATAACGGTTTGACACGTAGCACCAAAATGGACCARTAAATAAGGCAATCAGAGGACGAATCCCTCCAAGAATCCCAATCTGCCACGGTTTTAGTCCAACAGATCTGTAATAAATATTAAGAAATGGAAAGAGTGAGCCGAGAGCGCCATAAAACAAGTAGTAATACGCATTCGGTAACCATGTCTTTAGCTGTTCAACGTTGATTTTCCACAGTTCATCGCGAAGCATTGGCTTTCCCATTATTGTTTAGYCACCGCAGCTCTATATTAACGCTTTGCTCTCCATATCAGTTGATGTCGTGGTTTATTTGGTATAAATATATCCACCGTTTTAAGAATATCCGCTTTCTTAAGCGCACTTTGGCTGTAAAATAGCTTGAACTCCTTTTAAGGCAATTCCCTTGGTCTGTTTTTGAGTAGATTGTGTTTTAATTCCCAGCACTTTGCAGCTTTCTTTGCTAATAGGCCGGTGCGTCAACATAGACAGAAGTTGATTTTCTCCCACGTCAAGTAATTTCCTTTCTGCATCATGAAGAGCTGCGTTGGCGGCCAGAATAAAACTACATATACTACTCAAAAAGTCAAAAAATGTCTTCTATAGGACCAAGGCTTTGGCATTTGGATGCTCCTTGAGTTAGGTCCGTCCAACTTGGCTAGAATTCTTTGGAAGTGATTTTGGTTGCTGCGCACTGAATTCAAACCTTACCAGTAACCAACGAATCATGGGTAATATCAATATCGGGASTATTACTTCGTTGGCAACGTAATTCAACTTTTAACACCCCGTGGATTCTTAAGAGTATTTTTAAGCAAAACGTATTAGAAACAGTTTCAAAGATTACCCCGTTGACAGAAGAATAATTCGAAGAATATTTAACGGCTTTGTCCAGTTCCAAGTATTCATAAATGGKCAAATTTTAGGAAGAGGTTACTTCATTTTATTACGATAATTAGTAAAGTATAGTATATCTCTAGGCATTATGCAAATGACTTTGGTTGTCATATTGAGACAAATGAAGAAGACAAAAGATTTTCGCAAAGTTTGTTTTGACTTTCGAGTTTGGTCAGTAAATGATGAATAGGATTAAAGTGCAAAACTCCTTGAGTGGGAGCTAAAGYTTTCCCCCTCGATATCGTGGATCAGTTTTAAGAAATCGGTATTTTTCTCGTCTTTTTAGTCAAAAAAGGGCGTAAAAACCTGACAATACGAAGAGGAAATTATTTATTTTCTTCACTGGAAGCCTTTAATTAATGAAGAGSGATGGAGAGCCGGAATTATCTAGATGGAGAGCAAATTGTTTGGGCTTCGTGTTCCGTTCTAAATAAAAAGTGCATGGCTGGGCTTACTAAATTTAACATCAAAAACTCTCACAAAGATGACACTTTTGCCGCTTGGGGCAGCTGTATTCAATTTCTTCAGATAGATCAGTTTTGAACTTTTACACTACCACACGTGAATTTATAAATCATTGATGATTTTAAAACGGCGAAACTTATATGAAAGATGAAAGTGCCTAARAAAATGTCTGGTGGGAGAAACTGTMTTTATATTTTGCCATACAATGYATGATTAGGTCGTGGTCAGTAAAATATTTGTCAAGTTTTCTCAGTTAGCAAAACATGCAGGACAAATCAGAGATGCATTATAATTTACTCAAGGAAATTTAGAGTACAAACACTGAAAGCGTACAATACTTTGCACCGTTTAGGACTAATTTAATCAAGCAATGGAAAACAAAGAATCCTATTAAGAATATAATGTCCATCCAACTACTGGTTTGAACGTGATTGAAGTTCAATAAATATTCTCTTATCTTCTCTCATCGCCGCTCGCGCTACCACTTGCCTAGTTTTGTCCTCCTTATTGTCTCCCTTAACAGGGAGCCCATTCYTCAATTTTTTCGCAGCCGCCCTCCTTAGTACTAATGTTTTTACTCTCTATGAATTTTCTGAAGTGTGCCTTCAGTATCTAAGTCAGATTAAGTATGAGAAGATAAGGATGAGAGAGAGAGAAAAAAAAGAAAGATGAATATTATTCAACCGGATCGGGGTTGGGGTGACATAGGAGAAAAACAAACTGCGGATGCTCGAAAGTTCGTGTCGTGTTTACGAATACAGTTGAACCTCCCTTAAGCGGACACCCTTGGGAAAAGGAAAAAGTATCCGTTAGTAGAGATGTTCGCCTAATAGAAAGGGGTCCTTAAACGGACAAATAATCAAAATACTGTCGTTTTCCGTTGACGTAAGCMTTTCTAAAGACTAAAACTGTTAAGCCGTTTCAAGTAGCCGGTGTTTCTATTTCGAGTCCGTTTRTATGTCATAAGAACAAATAGGTTTAAAAATAAAGACAGTTTTTTTTTTATTCCGAGTCCGTTTTGATTAGAATATTTGAAACAGTGTTCGCTTAAGGGAGCYTGAAAACAATAGAAACAGTCAATTGGGATTCGCTCTTTGGTGTCCGCGTCCGCTTACGAGAAACTCCGCTAAAGGGAAAGTGTGAATACAGTGTTTGTATGGGAGGAAAAACGGGGTTTTGGAAAGCTGTCCGTAATTAGAGCTGTCCGCTTAAGAGAGCGTCCGCAAGTGGAGATTCAACTGTAAAACCATCATTTGATATTTACCGGCGTTATATGAATCACGCCGTAATTGGTGAAACGTTTGTGCTTATTTTTCCTAGATAACAACTTTCCTAGTGTTTTGTTTGTTTCCTGGTCAAATTATACAAGAGAAATTCGCGTAATATAAACGCCGGCGAATCTCCAATGGTTTTATTTGCCAGACGACGCGTCTACAAATTTCCCACTCGGAACTTCCGAGCATGTGCCGGTTGGRGTGAGAATATTCGCGCCCTCCCCTCAATGCTCAGAATTATAGGAAGGCCTAAGTCTCCACAGTGYTTCACTTCTTGCTACTTGTCACATCAGCCCGACTGGTTGAGCAACAATACATGATATAAAGCAAATTTTCTATTGGGGTCCCAGATTTTGGACGATTTATTATTGTTTTGACGTGGTTCCTCAACCTTTTCTCACGCGAAGCAATAGACTTGATCAAAAAATATATAATTTTGCTTTTGTTTTGATAAACAATGTATGGTATATAACCATACTTCCTCGCAGTATCCTTAAACATAACTTGGGATGCCTGTGTTATGTCCTTCTAGCGACGACAAAACAAGGTGTCAGCGGAAAGAGATACCTATATTTTGTATCAAACTATATTATAGCTTTATTCGTTAAAACTTTAAATATGATATTAAGAAGCTAACGATTACAGTGTCTGGCGTAGAATAATGTCGTAATTCTAAAAAAAAGTAATCGGAAACAAAATTATTTCATTGTTAATTTGAAGCAATGACATCATCATTGGGTCGATTCTATATTTAGATGACTGGTCACGTGACGTAGTTGTTGTACTGTGCTGTGAGTGCGAAAATAAGTTTTTTCAATTCTGAAATTTGTGGTTAAAATATCGTTAAAATAGAAAAATGAATCGGCTTTTTGGACGAGGAAAGCCCAAGGAACCACCACCGAACCTCACAGATTGTATTTCTAATGTAAGTTGATATTTAGATCTCTTTTAAGTCGCATATTTCCTCGTTGAAAAAATCTTATGTCGAGAGGTAACATGACAAGATGGTGGAACTGAACAACGAATCTCATTTGTGTGTTTGCAGGTCGACAGTCGAGGAGAGTCTATAGAAAAGAAAATAAGTAAGCTTGATCAAGAGCTTTTGAAATATAAAGAACAAATGAAGAAAATGAGGGATGGACCATCAAAGGTTTGGTTTAAAAACTAAGGCAGTCATTCAAAGCTTATAAACTTATGTTCAAAACTAGCTGTACATTTGTAGTAGTAGTGCAAACAATATATCCGTGAAACACTAATTACTAGATTGTTCAAAATAGTRCTAGTTAAACAAAATAAAACAATAGAGTTAGCATAAAATAGTGTAAGTTAGTATTACTAATATKTAAAGGATATATTGTTTGTACTCTACTTTCTGCAAGCATTCATAATATTTGCAGAGATATTTTGGAAATATGTATCGCGATATGGAAAGGTACATTTTTTGGTGGGGAAAGGGGGGGGGGGGGGGGGAGCTGGGGCTTCAGACAGCTTATAAATCATCAGTAATAATTTGAACTCTGGGACCAACCTTTTTATTTATGAAAGCTCTTTCCTTGCTAACCCGTAGCCACTATGATATGAGGAAAGTACGGTGGCTTTAGCTTTTGACATTTCTCTGTTTGGCCTCCAACATAGCTATATAGTTTGGGTATACAATCTTGACAGAACTCGAAAGTTTTTTATGACAAAATACAGGACGATAAAATGTCAAAAGCGAAAGTCTTTCATGACAAAATGCTGGACGACAAGGTTGCTTGAGACGAAGTGTCAAAATGTCTTGTGACAAAATAACAAGAGGAAGTTGATCAAAAAGACAAACTGACTTTGTAATATGGCCCTAAATCACTTTGACTTTTGAACTTTYGACTTTTTTGACYTTGACTTTTTTATTGCTGCTCTCGGCCACTGTAGGGAAGTTGATGCAGTTGCCTTGGCAAAATATTACAAATGCCCCTCAGAACACTGGAAATTGCATTTCCGAGGGTCTCAATTTCAAAAAATTTCTGGGATTCATGAACCCCCTTGTTATTCTCGTCTTTGCCACTTAGCCTTGGTAAACAATTGGGTTTGACKTAATAGGAGGATCATGAATTATCTTCCTCCCTTGAAAGACGAGGAGGGTCATGAATTTCTTACTGAGTGAAAGAGGGAGGGCTACAGCTAGTGTATTAAAAAAAATTATTGCCAATCCCCTACTCCTCCCCCACCTCCCCAATAAAAATTGTACCTTCCATAACATAGGCACATATACCATATGTATTAGGTTTTCTTTAAACGTAAATGATGTTAATAATATTTTTGGTTAATAAGCCATTTAAGATTGAGGAAAAAGCTGGGACCAGTTGGCATTTGCAGTGCATTGTGGGGCCATTTTAGGGAACACTTCCAAGATGGCGGCTCACCCAATCTTGTGTTTATGTTTGTGTTTGCATTTATTGCATTCATTGCCAGTRAAAACAGGCTTCTTTGCATATAATTATTGCTTCATTTATGTATACTTGCTAATTTCATTTGGAATTCCTTTGGTTATTTTTTAGAATATGTTAAAACAAAGAGCACTTAGAGTTTTGAAGCAGAAAAAACAGTAAGTGTTAGAAGTCATTATAATAAAATACAYATATGCATGTATGGCTATTTAATTTCCAATATGTTCATCCAACTYGACATGCAAAAGTATGGCTGGCAATAACGTATATGCTTACTTTTATGCACAGGCGCCTTTCGTACACTAAAACTAACACATTTTGATACAAAGCTAGCTGGTTTTAACAAACCAGGCATGAAAAGCTCCTTTTGCAGCAAAAGGTCTGTGCATGCAGTAGAAGTATGTGTCTGACGTACTACATTATAATAATGTAAATGTTCTAATACTTTTAAATGTCACACTTTAACGTACGTCTGCACTGTACGTACACATCTTGACTGTCAAGTTTCCCAAACAATATAAGTGGCATATCACTTGCAGCACCATGGTAGGGGCTTTAATCTCTTCATTATRTTACATGTTCTGGGTTTTGTTTAGCAAAATTTAGAAAAAATATGACTTGAAACTAAGAAATTTTCCAAGGTGTGTATGCTAATTAAACATATAAGCTACTGTGTGTAATGCATACAGTATAAGACGTACTGTGTAACTTTTAAGAAAGTCCTGCTTGTCTTGATCATTACTAATCATTTTTCACATGCAGATATGAAGGTCAGTTGGAGAGTCTACGGCAGCAGTCCTTCAACATGGAACAAGCTAACTTCACCACACAAACACTGAAAGATACAAAAACAACTGTAAGTTACAATTTGATGTACATATATGGATAGAATATTAGAAAGGGAAAGAGAACCATGCAACTAATTTGAAATGAATTTTTTTGTGAAACAAGAACTTTTACCTACTTTCTTCTTTCAATATTCTGGTAACTCACTATTTACGAGCTGCATGCTGAAATTTGTTTTTTCTGCTACCATCATAATCTGTCGGTACCTTTTATCACTGGAAGCAGTAAAAAAACAATTTCACAACAAGTCATTGGAATATCTGAGTTTGCAGAATATTGAAAACTGTAGTAAATGTATTAAAAAATGGATAGTAAGTATTGACTGTAAAGAAAACCAGGTTCAAAATAAGATAATTTTTTCAATATTAAAAAGTAATCAAATTTGTTGGGGACCAAAAATCATGGATGTCTTTTGGCTTGGTGATGAATTTATCTTTAAGCCGTTAGGACAGGAGTGGGTAGGGGAAAAATTGTTGTGGTGGCTAGCCATCCCCTTCTTACTTCAGGTCTGGATCAAACTTATAAAGGTTATACAGTCAACCTCCAAGTACATGCATTACAGGCATACTCTATACAAAATCTAAAATCTGTTATTGCCAACCAAGCTACTGTTTACAGAATGCAGTTCATCATAAACATATTATGTTCCCTTGACTAGTTCCTTTACTTTCTACTTTGCTTGCTAGAAAATGTTAATTTTTTAAAAATTTCATTTTTAMAGGTTAATGCAATGAAAACAGGTCTAAAAGAAATGAAAAAGGAATTTAAGAATGTTAATATTGACCAAATTGAGGTAAGACATTTTTTTTCGTTATTATTATGAATTTATTGTGCAATGTTCACAAATCTTTAAGGAAAATGTTAAATGTTTACCATGAAAACTATGCAGCATATGGGTGCTTGGGGGCTACTCTGCTAATGCATCAACAGGTCTCTCAGTGTGTATGAGATAAATGCCCCAAATTAGTGCAAAAGTGATAGAATGGCTACTTAATATTGAAAAAAAAGTATTCAAATAGGACTTACAAGATGACATGTCTGATATGATGGAACAAGCTGGGGAAATCCAAGAGGCTCTTGGAAGAACATATGGCCTGCCAGATGACATAGATGARGCAGACTTAGATGCAGGTATGAATACATGTGACAAAATAGGTTTCTTATAAGTTTATTTATTATTTTAACTCATCCCTCATTTGAATTTGTGGCAGCCATTTTGGCAAAGGGCCTATTGGGTAGTAAGAGGAAGTTTRATAGGCAGTGTCATCATTTCTGCACTGTAACTAGAAGTAGTATGGTGCATGTGCACTTGTTTTAAAAGTCTATTTTCCACTCATCACTCAATGCACTCTGAACATAAGATATTATTAGGAGGATACAAACATTTTGCATTTAAAATTTAGATTAAAAAGGTCTACAGTAATAGAGTAAATAATTGTCTTGGTGCAATGTTTAACCATTTCAGCAACCTTCTCATTTCCAGTAGTATCATTTATTTGTTTAACAGTTGCACATCAGAGACATATTACTAACTTAATTACTAATATTATTAACTTTGTAACTGGTTCATTCAAGGAAAGGGAAAATTCTAACTCTCTGCACTTTAATTCTTTTATTTGCTTTGCCTTTGCACACACATTGTAAGCCTTCTCAGTTTGAATCTGAACAAGACTGGATCTGTTAATGAACCCATTGTCTTGTTGGAAAACYGATTGAAACAACATTCAAGTAAATATACAATTGTTATTTCAATATCAAAATTTAGAGCTGGAAGCACTTGGAGATGACTTGGCACTTGATGAAGACACATCATACTTAGATGAAGTCAATGCCCCAGCAGCACCTGATACTGTTCCAGGAGCTCAAGATAAAGAAGCAGTCAAAACACAGGTAATAAATAAGAATACTTTTTAAACCYCATCTCCTATTCTTGACTAGTCAAAATCCTTTTGTGATTGGACGCATTTGTAAAGGGAAAAGTTAACAAAAGGGGTTCAGGAGTGAATATTGAACTCGCTATATTTTAAGAAACCAGTCTGAATCAAATGCTTATTAATTTTGGGTAATAGTGAACAATCTGCACCATATGATAAGTTGTCCGTAAGTGGTCGGTAAGTGGTCAGTAAGTGAACTGTAAGTGCAGATTGATAAGGTAGTGGTAAGATAACTGTAAGGCACTTACATTGTGGTGCAGATTGTTCACTTTACCTTATTATTATATTTAATGGCTTCCTGGAATAAATATTTTGTTCATATGGACCAGTAAAATGCTGATTCTTATTTAAATCTCATACTAGTGAGGATGTCTTGTTCTGGGAATTAAAGTCAATGCCCCAAACCTGAATTAGCACTGATCAAGCTTTGTACACGGCTGTACAACAATCTAATAATTTTATGACGACTGGAATCTACACTTATTTGACTGATGAAGACTGTGCATTACAGTTGTAATATCTCATACAATCTATAATAAGTTTTGCTCTGAGCCCAAGAATTTATAATTCATATTGATAAACTTTGAACAACTGGGCCATGGTGAATAGAGTGCAAGTGGAAAATGGGTTATTTTAGTCACAATAAGGATATACATGTAATATGGAATGCTAATTTTCTTATAAAAGAACTATAATAATTCATAGTATTTCTGAGGTCTTACTTTAAGTACTTAAAAATTTGGACTTCTCCTTTAAGTTCTTCTTATGCTTTTGTTTCATTGCAATGAAATTGCAACTAAGTTTGATGGCAGAATTTTTGAAATACTGAAAATTATTGCAATAACCAACATTTTTTGTTAATTTTTTTCCGACAGGATGGTATTCAAGTAGATGAGTTTGGACTGCCAATTCTTGCCAAAAACTAAATATTAACCTGTGAATATTATACCATTGCCGAGAAAGATGAAGGACATTCTAAATGCTGCCAATAAATTTGTAGATAACTTTACCCATGCACTTAGTAATAATTACGTTATTGCAATTTTCGTAAACATGCAAACTCTGTGTGCTGCATGCTGAAATTTGTTTTATATTGCTGTCAATCAAACCTAATCAGTCAGTACCTTTCATATTTTTGACTGGYGGTAGCATAAAAAGCAAATTTTAGAGTGTAGCTCATAGACAGAGTTCACATGTTTCTGACAATTGCAGCAATATGATAAATCGTCGATYGTTGTAAATATTTTTTGTTCCTTTCAATATGTTTGTTTTTATGTTTTTGAGTGGCCCTTAATGAGATATTCTATTGTTTTAAGAATCATACAAGTGAGCCAACCCAATGCTCGTTGTCTCATTTTCATCTAATTTGCATGCATTCATAATATCTGCTATTGCATGGCAATTATGTTTGTTCAGACCAATTATCACAGACATAACATTCTGAAGCCTAAGCCTCCTCTGCAGACTTCTCTCTTATTTTCCTTTCTTGGGCGGTTGGAACTTGGACACATACCACAGGTAGCCCACCAAAGAAACATGAGAAAGGCTTGAAGCAAAGAGAGAGACACCTGCGGAGTAGCCTACTGAAGCCTCTTAGAATGAGTATGGTTAAGTAACCTCCAAAGTTCTATAGAGCAAGGAGGTGCCATGTGATACACTATGTAATTCTGACTATCATGGCTAAAAAAATTTCCCTGTCCACTCCTGGACTCTTTGTTGTACCTCCTTAAATCCAGTTGTCCTTTTATGTAATCTAGCACTTTGAGCTTGAAGTATCAGCCTGTCATTGGTGAAAATGCTGGCCAAATTCTACTGTTAGCTGGCCGCGAAAATATTTCAGTTCTAAATGGGAAATAGGATGGCAAGTTGAACATGTTATTCAAAAAAAATTTGATTTGACTTCAATACCTAAACGAGAAGAAAAGGAAACATCCCATTCTAAGGCTATAATTTTTTATAAATTATAAATAAAGCACACTTGAACATCATGCACTTTCTACTTTTGGAATCGCTTTTATCGTGTGACTACAGATATAATCCAAGCTTTGTTAAATGTATTTCATAAAATGGTGATGTCAGTTTTTTTGACACTGATGACACAGCGACTGGAGTTGTTATTTACTGACCTGTAATAAAACAGTGAGTTCATTTTCATAAGCGAGCCAGTATAATGTTTCCATTGCAGCAGCTTTTAGGAGACTGGTTCAATAYGCTATAGGTCCATACCAATTTCTTTTTATTGATTGATTTTTCAAACTGGACACTGATTAGAGTGATTTTACTTGGCCCGTGAAAAGATAATAAGTACGTAGTAGACTCTAATGACATAGTTTTCTCTCGTTTTACTTTGACTATTGAGGGTCCTTGAAGGGGTAAAATAGGAACTGGGATTTGTCTATTTTGCCCTGGGAATAATTAGCAATTAGTCTTCGAGCACGAATGGGCTATAAGTCAATAGTCCAAGAGGCCAGGAGGGATAGAGAACTAATTGTCTTAGTCGAATATTATCTAACTACCGTAAACGCCCGTGTATAATACGYTCCCATGTATAAAACGCACCCCATATTTTTCATGTTAATTTCAGGAAAAAAGTGAAAAGTGTTTATATAAGTCAACTGCAACCGTTTTATTGTTCTCGGTAACACATTGAAATTCCATTTCGTTTCATAAGTTTCATTACGGCAATTTAAATTCAAATACATCTCAATACCGAGTCCTGAATTATATYGAATTCAATAAATTTCTTTTGCTTTCAAAGCCGGCACTTATCGCTACTAGTAGAGTATAACTTATAGCCCACTAGTAGCTCATCCAATCAGGATGCATGTTGATGATAGATCGCTATTTGGATTTGAGTAATGGGATTTATAAATGGGAATACACCCTTCTCATAATGGCTGATGAACGCACGGAAACGAGGTCACMCAGTCATCTTGCAAGGTTGAGCCAAGCTGCTCATTCAAAATAAAGGCTGTTAGCGCTAATTCAGATCAAAACGAAGGTCATTTTTTAATACTTTTCTTCTTTAAAGTCATTTCATGTAATCTTTTAATGTGAAATAATGACTGGGTGACCTCGTTTTCGTGCACTTGTCAGCCATTATGAGAAGGGTGTATGGGAAAATCATTTTTAAGTGAGACGATGAAATTTGGACCATTTGAAGGGCGATTTTTCTGATTAAAAATGATAACAATACCTTTGTGAAATGTAAATCTGACGGTTAAAAAAAWCATAAAAAACTGATACCTACAATTTTTATTGCAACCCCCTCTTTCAGGAATCACTATTAGTCAAAACAAAAAAACAAAACAAAAAACAATAAGAAAAAATCATGCATGTACCTAATTTTGAGTTGAATCTCTCTGAAAGCTGGAATATGGGATTGGCACACCCTCTTTCAGGACTCTCACTATATTAGCCACTAATATACGACTTTGTTCACTTGACGCGTGTTTATTGTACGCGGTCTATTGTGTTTATTGTGCGAAAATTTTCCACCAAAATTATAAACCGTTACGAATGGTATGGGTAGAAACGTCAGGTACGACATAACGTTGTATTCATACCAATAAATGTGTTTGATAATCACATTTCTACATAATTCATGGAGTACTATGCTAMTAAACCTCGCCAGTATTTTTAATAAAGTCGGATCAGTTTTTAAAAATGTATTTTTTTGTCCTTGATTTTTATAATATTTCGTGAATGGAGTCAATTCGAACATTTCTCAAACCGATGGAAATAGTCATTTCAGGCACGTTTTTGTAATAACTATAAACCATTTATGATTACACTTCCCATCCTATCGCGTCCGCATCAACAAGTTTTCCCGCCATTTTGACCTAGTTCAAKTGACAAGTGACACGAAAAATCAGATGTGAAGGTTTCAGAGAAAAGTCAGCTAAAAACCGCTAAAAAAGTCGTCTATGAAAATAAAGGTAAGGAAAACGATTGTAGAGATCATATGTAAATACTTGAAATAGTTATATGTAGACGGTTTTCGAACTTTAAATCTTACAATTCCGTGAACCAGTGCAACTGTACGTTGGTGCTTCTTATTAGCCTAGCATTTCATTTCGGTTTTTAGACTAAATATTATTCACAAAGAACCAGTTTTAATTAAAAAAATACTTTAAGCTTATATGATAAACTGTTAGAGGTTTTAATTGGATTCTGCCTGATCACACTAAAGATTTCATTGGATTTTTTTAAAATCCGCTATCAAGACTTCGTAAGCTTACTTGACTTCATAAGCTCTCTCACAATGCTGTCGAGTTCTGGAAAATATATAAAAGTCTCACTATTAAAACATGAAAACCCCGAAAATATTTTGTTTTCAAATGTCATATCACAGAAGAAGATATCCGACGTGCATGTCTAATGGGTTTATAGCTTGTTCAAGACGCGTCCTTTGGTCTATAGCATACGATGGACTGCACAATAGCGGTACTAAAAGGAGTGTTCCAGGGTGCCCAGACGGCCTCTCTTTAAATRAATTAAAATCTAGGAAATGCCTTTTTAAAGAAATCAAATTTTCTAGATTGTTTATGTAAAAGAAGGCCTCCGGATCGACCCCCGRAACCTTTGCTGGCGTGGAAGTGTAGAGAGTTTTAGTGCTGTATTTACGTCATTCGAACCCACACTTTCTAGAGGAAAAAAGAAAATAGAGAAAAGTATGGAAAAAGAATAACTTAATAAGTTATCTAATCCGTTAGATTTAAATCGCACATGCTCGGCTAGCTTTGACCACACCTAAATTTTATATTTGACTTGAAATTTCTGTTGTGTCTATGCCTATACTTCAAGAAATACAACATCTTTTGAAGACATAACACATTACAAAGCAAACCGATTTTACCGGCCGGCCATCTTACTRGTACTTCCTAATTGAAAAGATAGGAGATTCTTGGGGATTGCATTAGCGGCTTTTAGGTAATAAAAAACAATATCATTGAATTCAATGCTTTAGATATCAAAGCAACGACATGCCTAGAGGAAGCCAGATTGATCAACCTTTATTTGGCAAAATGATTTGTTTAATCGATCAGGAAATCACTATACAGAGTTAAATATTGYCGTGAGGGTTTTTTCTCTGGGTTTTCCGATTTTCCTTCCTTCTCAAAACGTTAGTTTGATTAGCCGTGGCCCGATTTTAATCAGCCCAGACGTCACGTTGTTTTAGGTTAGAGATAAAATTTTAAGATTTTAAAATAAATGCTGATTAAGRGAAGCGATGAGAACCCGAAGAGAAAGGAATAAAATTGAAGCACTTCTTTGGATAAAACATATACCTTACAAAGCAAACTTAAAATATGGTAATTATTGGATAAAATATTTTTTAATTTTAATAGAACAGCAGGAATTGAATGAAATGGAATAGGAGTAAAGATGAATGGAATTAAACAAAACTTTTGTTGCTAATTAAATCAAATTGTTTCCCATTAAGTCTTGTAATCGATATTTGCAMATTTGTTTTTAATTGCATTGAGAAGATAAAGTTTATTTAAAGTTCAGAAAAATGGGATAGCCTCTTGAAGAGTGTGAGGGAGTGTGACAGGGCYGTAACCAGGGGGGAGCACAGGATGCATGTGCAACCCACCATAAAAGCGTAAGGTCTGCTTTTTTGTGGCTCTTCAATCCCCCCTCCCCCRCCCCTTTTTTGGTTCTTCAATTTCCTTTTTTTTCCTTTTGGTTCTTCAATTCCATTTTTATTTATTTATTAGTTCTTCAATTCCCTTTTGTTTTTGTTTTGGTTATCCAGAACCCCGGTACCAGAGGCCTTGTGGGGCTTGGGGGAGAGAGAGGGAGGGAGG